AGATTCCACTTACTGTTACAATGTGGTTAACTAATCACAACAGTGTGTAAAAAGGAGAAGTGACTCCAGAAAAGTGCAGTCATGAGCTATTTCACAGTAAGTCTTTCACTTTGGCTCTTCACAGGTTGTTTACAGAGCTTTTTACACATGCTGTCTCCTCATAATCATACACTAATATTAACTCTAAATTAAAGGTACATTAAGTACCAATTTTACAGTGAAGTAATCACAAGACCGTCTTTCTCAGTCATATTGGAAGAAAGCTAGCATTGAAACAGATTTAATTCTCAGCCGGCTGGGGGGGTTGTCAGTTTTTCTCCTTTCAAAAATACCAAAGAGGGATGTAGTCTTTGTTTACAGTATGTAAGCTCGTGCAATAACCTCAGCCAATAACAGGAGTGACTCAGAAGTTATTTCTTGTACCCCTAAGAAGCCATGATATCCTTTTGCTTCACCTGTGAAGAAGGCAAGAGGCTAACGTTGAGCTAACAATGCTAACGGTGAATTAGAAACAGAAAAATGTCAATCTACTTTTTCAATAACCAGTAACGGAATATTACAGTGAAACATATTTATCTACTTATCAACTTACTGAGTATGACTCGTCTTCACTCATCTAGAATCTTCTGACGCTGTCGTAACTGGCAACTGCCATCAAACTCATGAACTGGAGTGGGAGGAGTCGTGTTTATTTTGTAAAATGAACAGCAGTACCCACATTTGACTTACATTATTCTTACTTCATGCACCTTTAATTTATATGGGTGTGTACTGGAAGCCAGGCAATATTTGCAATTTTTAAGACTGAATTTAATTGGGAAACTGTTCAGATGCTACCAAGACACATCCAGGGTTCCCACAGAGCCTCAGACTTAAGACAGTAAAACCTGCTGCCACCTATCAGAGTTTGAATTGACCCACGCAACAGAAATTCACAAACTGTTTGCATGAAAACTCAAAAGAAAAAGGTTGATACAATGCTTTTAAAGCTGTTATAGTGAATCTCCAAACAAGCTAGGTTTTTAACGCAAACACGCTCACAGAACATTCACACTTCCCCTCTGTTATCTTTCCTGAGGCACTTCTGCTGGAACTGGAAACCTGCGATTCCGGAAAAAATGAGATGGCGCTAAACACCAGTCGCTGTTTTCTACAGCCAAATGTCTTTCTTTGTCTGTAACTTTAAATGGTGTTTTTCGTTTTGGGACTCTGGTAGTTTGTCCTAAAGTTGAAGTGGTAGCAGCCGGCTTTTTCTCCTTCTCTGATATTATTGAGTGGAGAACCTCTCACACCAGTTGTGTTCCATTGCAAAATACGCAAGTATGTAATGAATGGAGGTCCCAGGAAAGTGTGGAAGTGCGGTGGTTTGGCGAGACCGACAACCAGATGGTCCAATAGTTGCTTTTAGTCCAAAATGTTTCGGAGGTTCCTAGACAAATGGGAGTGAACCATGTTAATTTATTTTTCCTTATTTAAAAAAAAAAATCTCCACGTAATATTTTATAGCTATGCTATGTTAGCATGTTGTTAAGAGGCAAGAAAAAATGTTTTAAACTAATTTGTTTTCCAAATTTGCCATTGCGGCTTTACATATTGATTCAGTATCTTAACATCAATTATCATTATGTTTCAGTGCGTCGCTATTGCCTTACATCTGTTTTAATTTATTTTTACATTTATCGGTTTTCTTTTGTCTGTCAGGGAGATTGTCTGATTCATTCAGCCAGCCCCGTCAGAGGAGTCTCTGTGAAGAACTCCACCGGTTTCCCATCAACACCTCATTCTGCTCCCACCCCACCAAAGGCCATCACGGCTTCACCCAAGACTCTCTTCCCCTACCCCTCCCATCAGAACTCGCCACCAAAGTCCCCCCATCGCCTAAGTCTCAGCGGCCTCTTCCGGCCCAATTCTACAAATTCAAGCATGAAAATCTTCTCCAGAACCAGAAAAGGTACGTAGAAAGAGTGAATTTAACTCATTAACTGTCACTGACAACTAAAGTCATCATTTTAAATCCAACCACTCGCTTTCAACGGGGCCGGCGTGGGAGCGAGTCCCTGCAACATGGCTCTAAAGCTGATCTTCACCCGTGTGTGTCACACGACACATGATCAGGAAGCAGAAAATCCATGAATTAGGAGATCATTTTGGGACGCTGCTGGGAAAAAAGCGAGGTGCTAACCGGAAAAGCTTCTGCTGCTCACACTTTGACATTGGATTGTGAATGAACGGATAAAGCTAGGAACGTGCTGATTCTTCCTCACGTATGAAATGAGTAAGCTTTCTTTTGTTAGTTTTGGTGTTTACGTGGTCATACAGCACACTGTTCTGTGACTCTTCAAAAAACAGTAAAACGCTCAAAAACGCTGGTAGTCAGGGGCTTTCTGATCAGAAAATGGTTGGCAGTTAAGTTAATAATAAAGGTAAAAATGGGGGGTTCCTGTTCTTGTTTTTAATCCACATTCAGAAATCGGCAGTGGCTTCACTGAGTTCAAGTGTGTTGCTGCATCATTTTTCACCTTTGTACAAAGAGAAAAGTAGAAGTTTCCTTAGAGAAGAAGAGGAAACCACTGTTTTTCTTTGCTATTCTTTGCAGCCACCGTGGTCACGAGTTTTACTTCTCTTATCAGACAGCTGATCACCTGAGTGCAGAGAAACTGTTCCTCTTCTTCATGCTGTCAGCTACTTTAAGATGGAGAGAAGGGATGAATGGCTTTGTTTGCTCCTTCAATCAGATCAACAACATCATGCTGTGGATTGAAAAGGCAGTTTATCTCAAGTTACTGGTTTGGCTTCACACATGTGGGAAGCCAGCCAGCGTGCATTTACCAGCCATCATTGAAGCTCATTAAAACATAATGATGGCAATGCAGAAGCAGAGAAAAGAGGGACTAGGTAGAACAAGGCCGTGCTTTATGAAGAACAGACATGACTGGCAGATGTTCAGCTCTTGTGTCTCCATGTGTTTTTTTGGTGGTTGATCGTTGCATAACAAAAAACAGCCTTGTTTTCATGGAACTGCCCTTCATCAAACGAGTGAGTCATAGATTTTAGCTGGTTCTCATACCGATTCTTTTGTTTCCTTGCAGAGGGTCAGTTTGGCCGAGGTGGGTGGAACAGCGCAGTCAGTGCCAGGGCCTTATAAGTAGGCATGCTCTGTTTTCTGTGGAACTAACCAAAACACTCTCCAGCTAATACCCTCCCCTCAAGGCAAATTCTTGGAATTAATCATTTATGACACGGTTTGAGACGTAGTGCCGGCCCTTCTGACTCATCGTGTGGATACAAGAGAACTATGGTTAGTGAAAATGGTGATCAAGTACAAATAAAAATGAACAACGATGGGTTAGATCGGCACACAAGAATTTGTTTGTACAGTTGTGCAAAAACCTTGACTCGTCTTTTATCCCTTTTTTATTTTGAATCTGTGAAGCCAAACCTTCTCATAAAGTCTAACATTCCTAAAAGGTCTTGTTCACTGCGAAATGTGTAATATTTGTTCTTTTTGGACTATGATCGGTTACTCAGAGTTGCACATGCATGCTGAACGTGAAAATGTTCCTCAACACCTCATCGTCTCCATTAGCCGCAGAAAGGAAATTGACTGGGGTACATCTCCTACATCACAGGAAAAGTAAACATTCTTCAGGCAGGAGAGAGCAGAGTGTGCTTTAGCTAGTAGAAGCTAACCATTAGCAACTCCACAACATGATGTCTTTCTGTCCTAGCCTGTTGCTTCACCAGGAGAATAGGCCACCTACAAGCACTCTCCAGTTGTCCCAGTCTTGAGCCAGCCATCGGTGAATTTACGCTACGGAAGCACTGATATAAAATTTGTGGGCCGATGTCCGATATTAATGTCACTGTTATGGCCGATAACCGATATTTGCCGATACCGATATACTGACATTAATGCTTCCAAAAGCAGCAGATTTTGTATAGAATGAAAATTATTAAAGCTGAATTTTATGCACACAACACACACATTTACATTGTGGATCCCTAATTTACCTGAACCATCTCAGACGCCACGTGTAGCCTGTCGACTTCATGTCCACCTCCAAGTCATGGGGCAGTGTGTTTCTAAGCTGCCCCCTTTTCTTTTTCCCTTGTGGGTTCCATATGAAAGCTCCTCTCATGATACGGAGTGCGGGTTTATGTAGAGTATGGCTGATCCAACACCAGCTTCTGTAGCAACACATTCTCACACCCTAAGTGTCGGAAACAAACGCTTGGTCAGCCACCCTCCACGTCAGACCCCAGACGCCAATAGTGCCCTTTTTTGTTACTTATGTGCGAAAAGGGGTTTTTCCCTTTTGTAACTGCAGATCCCAATGCAGCGTAAAACTGAGGTGATTAGATATCCGCTGATGCGGCACCGAACCAGCTCGTTTAACCTCACCTAAACCTTAACGTTTCACTATTTATAACCTTCCCCTCTCCCTCACCCTAACCTTAACCCTCTTGCTACCTAAAACGTTACTCTCACTGTGATCAAGCATTTGTTTCCCATGCATTCTGACTCTGAGTCTGACTGTCAATTTTCGTATTTGCCGCCCAAGGGGAACGTTAGAACATACCATCTGGTGAGGGGGAGGTTACAAATACCCTCTATTTTTAACCTCCACCGTGGTAGTTGAAACCTCCCCCTTGCGTTGGCTCGGTCCAAACTCGACCAATGACGAGGCGCCTCCCGCCTCCAGCCAGCTTTTAGAGCAATCGACACATCACTAACGTGTTCGCTAGCAAGATGGTTAAGGTTAGGATAGGGGTGAGGGGAAGGTTAAATAAGAGGATAAGGTTAAGGTCAGGTACAATGAGCTTGTTTGGTGCCCTGGCTGCAGACATCCCATCGCGTCAGTGTAACGCTGCATTGGGCTCTGCAGTCAAATAAGGGAAAAAAACCCTTTTCGCACATAAGTAACGAAAAAGGGCACTTGTGGCGTCAGGGGTCTGACGTGGAGGGTGGCTGACCAAGCGTTTGTTTTTGACGTGCTGGGAGTGACAATGTGTCGTCTGTAGAGGATCTCGTCCGCTACAGGCTGCTGTCTTGTTTGTTGTCACAGTTCCTTATTGGCACTTCAGTCTGGCAGGTGGATCTGCGGAATCTTCCTTTAGACGGCGTTTTGCATTTTAACCTAAGAAAATATTCATTGCTTTGGGCCAATCAGACACGAGACATTTTTCATATCCTGAATCATAATTTGTAAAATTGTGTCTGTAGTTACTAGCAGCTTTTCACAGAGACAAAACGTGTTCCTATTTCTCTAGTTTAATAAATGCTTAGCTGAAAATGTAACATACAGAACACATTTAATGGAGGTTTAACTTTTTTTTGTCCCGATTATGTAAAGGCGTGTTTTTAAGTATTCATTTTAGGGCTGACTATTCTTTTGTTCTCCACTTGCCCATAATAACCATTTTTAAGCACACACTTCTGTAATGTACTGCAAAACTTTAATTTGACTTCAGAATGACTGATAATGACTTTTTAAATTTTTGGTTTTAGAGTTGGATATTTTTTTATAATAGAGGTTCACTGTAAATTCAGTGCACTGTTGTGAAGGGAATGCAGACAAGGAGGGGAAATCCGTACAACAAAAACAAGCCTAAAAGCCTAAAAACCTGTTCTTCAGGACCACAAAATATACCAAACTCTGGCTCTTAGGAAACCACGTTTAAAGACGGTAGTAAATTAGGTGGATGAATAGCAGACTTTCTACTTTAGCCACAAGGGGGCGCTGAAGGCACAGTCTTTAATTTGTCTTTTAAACATGTCTCAGGGAAGATAAATTGCTTTAACATTCATCATTTATTTGCAGTTTTTCCAAACATAGACAGTTGGTTCATATTTGGTACATTTCTCATAGCTCCTTCACCAAAACCTTTTAATCTTTGTTTTTTTATTGGCCAAATTAGCATTTTCATTGTCCACAAAAATGACCAGAATGTTACACCATCCCTGCTGGTTCTAAATATGTTTTCCCATCGCCTGGGCACTGTCAGCCTCTTGCTGCTGTTGTGTTTCCATAGCCTTATCTGGAAGTGACCAGACTGTCAGGAGCTCCTCTCACAGCTTTCTCACCCCCACTCCCACTCTGCGTTACCACTGTGAGCTGGATTGTTGTCAGTAAATAAAAGCAACTGGGCGGTTTTGACCTCCTACATTCTTTAAATCCAGGCCTTACAAGGGTAGAATTATTATTATTAATATTTGGCTGAACTCAAATTGTCTGACGATCGGACAACTTTAAACTGATGTTAAATAAATCGATCAGTTAAATAAATCGATCACATGAAAACTGATATTGGGCATGATGGTTACTGTGAAACACTTGCATAACATGTTAACTGAGATCTTTACTGGTTGTGCTTTGACTATTTTGAGCAGCTGGTAGTGAGTGGAAGCTTTCTGATCAGCTGACAGAACATGGGACATCCCGCTGTCGTCATCTGACAGAGGGGCGGGTCTCAAAGGTCAGCTCCCCAAAACTGCACCAGCAACAGAGGGGAAACCTTTATTTGTTAGGTTTAGAGGAAGACGTTTGCTTCAGGAAACAGTCGGCTCCTGTAGAAGCTGCATCACGTGATGACTGAGTGAAGCAGATGTTCCTGTGCTGAATTTACTCCACGAAAAGAGAGGGAGGGCATGGAAACATGCAGCCCAAACCAATCGGAGGGGGGTTTCTCTCGTGGGCTGGCCTCCTTTTACAGGCTGACATGTGTGCTATATTAAAGAGATGCCCCCCACAGCTGCACCTGACAATTTACAGCACTGGCTCTCCTGAAAGGAGAAGGGTCTGTCCCAGTTTCTTTGCATCACTGCAACGGCAGCTCTGTGGAATCTACTACTACTCTTCCTTTTTTCCCTCATCAGTACAGCAGCTGCACACCGCCTCCTGCTGGCTCAGCTCTCAGCTTTTTCTTCTTTTTTTTTTTTATTCTTTAATTTACTGGATTTGCAGCCTTGGCTTCTATTGCTGCGTTTGTTAAAGTGGACCAACTTGTCTCTAAAGCATCTTCCATCGACCGGATTTGCTTCCGATTTCAGGTCTGCGTCAAAAGTAAAATACCTGATCAGTTTGGAGCTGTCATTTTTGCTCCTGATCGTAATGCAGATGGTCATGGTCAAATATTGTTTTGAGCCAACGACCCACAGCTTCCAATGAAGAGGTTTGGCAGCCTGAGGAGGAGCAAGAAACGAAAAGAGCACGATGGGCTAGAAGGAAGGCATCAGTCCGAGGCGTCGTGTCTGGCTGGTAACGCTTTAGTCTCACCTCTGCAGCTCACTCATATCTTCTAGTTTGATTTATACAGACTGCTGCATGAATAAATACATGTATCTTCAGCTTAAAAAATATAGTTTTTGTTGCTGATGAACTTTAAATAATTGGTGCAGAAACAGTGCAGCCTTTAAAATTAACACTTAACAACTTTTATAATACTTTTTGGCTTGTTGGCTTATTACTCATCACTAGCAGGTTAGTAAATGTGCGTGTCAAGTAAAATTGCGTTGCTATGAAATCCCCCCCCCCCCCCCCCCCCCCCGGGGGTGGGTTTTGTCAGGAGATTTAAAGCTTTGCTGTGGAAATTTAATATCTGCCTGTCTCAGTCAGGATGCGCACTAGTCTGTTTTTCCTTGTGGCTTGCAGTTTTTCCTCTAATTTAAACGTCACAGATAAACAAGACACTATTTGGCAAGTTTAATTTAAAGCTTCTGCCAACAAGACCATAATTAAGCCTCTAAACAAGATACCTCACATTTAACGATTCAAAAACAGCCCACCGCTTCCTCACTCTGACAGTTTTAGGCTAATTTTAGCCTAATTATTTAGGATATTAAACAAACTAAATCTTTAAACCTGTTTATTTTTCCACCAGAAATTAACTTCTGTTCTGGCTAACTCATAAAGCAGCTTTTCTTTCTTCTTGGTGTTTCTTCTGGTTGAATAAAGTGGAGAAAAAGCTGGGTGTGATTTAATGTGGAACATATCAGCTAAATGCTTTTCATTATGACTACTAAGGGTGTTGCATGTAGTTTAGGTGGTGCTAACACAGCTCATCTCTGGTTTCACGAGTGCCTGCCATGCATCTGCACAGTGTTAGGACCTGGGCCAAAGGTGGTGAAGCTGCAGGGATGAGCAGTTGGCAATTCAAATGAGACGCACCTTAAATAAAGTCGTTATCAAGCTGGTGAGAGATGGTGTATTTTAATGAGATGGAACTGCAGAATTTTTTGTTTTTATTAATTTCCTTTTACTTTACTGAAAAGTAATGATCACTTTACTTTATGTCACTTCAAAGTCCTCTAGATTCACTTATCGTGAAAATGGAGCTGAAGCTATAAGATTACATTTTTGGACTTCTCTCTGTGTGTAAGGGCATAATCTCCATGTGGATTATTTCTTCAGGTTTTCCTGACAGGAAGTGCAGCTAACAGAGTGAGCTAACCGTTGTTTCAATGACTTCACAACTCTAGATTTAGAGCCAAGCTGACCTTGGTTTAGTAGAAGAGAGGAGCTGAGTCCGATCTGGATGATTAATGTCTGTGTTGGGCTGTAGACGACCACGAGTTTCTGTGAGCTGATGACACCTCATCCAAATCCTTGAATCCTTTGATTCTCCACACAGCAGAAGCAAAAAAAAAAAAACCTTGTTGCTTTCATTGTCTCCTTGCACACTTTAGGAATCTAATCTTGTTGCCGATTAGATCATCAGTGCAGTAATTCTAACCAGCATGGATGTATCTTATTCATCCAAGTAAGTATTATTTGTGTTGCACTTAGTCGACCAATGAGGCTTGTGTTGTTTTTAGTGGTTGTGGCTCCACGTGACTCTCAGCCGACGCCTCAGGAAGCAACCAGAAATCAGGTTTTTGTTAATTAAACTTGCAAAATAATTTAAAAAAATTTGTTTTAGGATAAAAAAAGATCTCTATAGTTTTCTTGAATTGTAAAATCTTTAAAAATATGCTCCTAAGTAAAATATCGACCCGAGAGTTCCTTGAGGCTCTGGATGTTGTAGGGCCGTGTTGGCTGACGCGGCTCAGCAATATCCCGTGGACATTGGGTACAGTTCACTGGACTGGCAGACCGGGGTGGTGGTCCACCTGTTTAAAAAGAATGAGATTGCCGATACAAGTAGTGGAAAGGAGTTTTCTCCGCAGGGCTGGGCTCTCCCTTAGAGAGAGGGAGAAGCTCGGAGTAGACCAGCTGCTCCTCCACATTGAGAGGAGCCAGTTGAGGTGGCTCGGGCATCTAGTTAGAATGCCTCCTGGACGCCTCCCTGATGAGGTTTTTCGGGCACGTCCAACTGGGAGTAGACCTAAAAGAAGACCCAGGACACCCTGAAGGGACTATGTCTCTCACCTGGCGAAGGAACGCCTCAGGGTCCCCCCGGAGGAGCTGGCCCAAGTGGCTGGGGAGAGAGAAGTATGGGCCTCCCTGCTTAGGCTACCTCCATGACCCGACCCCGGATAAGCGGCCAAAAATGGATGAAAATATCAATACACTGAAATAATGCAAGGTTTTGTGTTATGATACTGTATTGATATTTTACAAACGTGTATCCATTCTTTCTTTTTATTAACTTACGTGCAAAAATGTATAATGAGATGTCGCAATAACACTGGATGGTCCAGTCCCAATACCCACACTGTAGCTTACAGTCCTCTATGAAGTACACTTGGAGAAAGTGTGTGTAAGGCTTTGAGTGCTTAGTAAACAAGTGTGCAAATAACTGCAGAATAGGGACGGTGAGCATTGCGTCACCGACCTGTTCCACTGCATCATATCTTTGCGACTTCCCAAATGGAGATGCTGGTTGCTGTGTTTGCTAATTTGCTGTGATTTAATTGAAAATACACGTTAACAATTTTTCAACAGACATGTAATGCATTTTTCCAACAGAGAAATGTCTGCCTACATGTGTACACAATTATAAAATATTCAGTATTTTGATACCTATACTTGAAAACACATTTTTTTCAGAAAGGACACTTTCTTTGCCTTCCTCTCAAAATTCCCACGTAGCAATGGATTGTGGGCAATACCCTACGCCAAAGTCTGCACCGATGCAAGCTCTGGTGAAATATGGATCGAGGGTGCAAAAGGGGGGCTTGACATTCACCCTATGTACTTGTACCACTGGACAGGAATGTGCAATTGAGGGGCGCAAGGATGGATGTGTGGGTATTGGGACTGGGTCGGTGTGTCGGGCCTGAGTTTAAAAATTAATTTCATTCTAAAAAACTGCAAATATCGTCTGACTTTTGTATCACAATTTATTGTATCGTCTTGCCTGTGTTGCGATAAATATTGTATCACTAGATTCTTGTTGACACACTCCTAATGCGCACAGTTTATGCAGCTATTTTTTTTTTTGTTCCTCTGTTGGAAGATAGTTTGATGAATTATTTGGGCCCTTAAATTCTGAGGAACATCTCAAATTATTTTAGAAAAATACAGATTCCTTGTTTTGCCCAGTAATTAAAAATCAACGACACACTAAAATAATCCTGTCCTTTGTTTACATTATATTAAAATGAGTTGCCGGTAATTAAAGTGAAACTGTGTTTCCGGGGTTTTCTGGATGGTTCCTGACTGTGTCTGGTAGTTGGATAGACCAGGGGCCTCGCAGCCTGCGTTATCTGCTCCTGTGGAATGTGCCACAACAGCATGGCTAAAAAAAGACGGCGGAAGCTGGGCACACCAAAGAGGGCCGGTCAGCGCCAACTAAATGTCAAGAGATAGTGTGGCAAAAAAAATGTGCTGTTAACACACAGGGGTCTGTTTAAATAGGCAATAACTAGTTTAATTATGTCAGTAAAGGAGAATACTTAGTTCAGCTATGCTAATATTAACTTAACCTTTTCAATCCACACCACCAATAATCATAATAGAGGCCATCATGTGGTGAAAGCTTGTAAGTCTATTTCATCCACGTCCCTTATTACATGACCCTGTGGAGGATCCGTAGCAGCATGCGTGTTACACATCGGAAGATGAGGATGTCTGATGTGTACACGCATGCAGGCGGCCATGTGACAAACGCCCTCCGTGTGACGAACACCTTCAGTGTGACGCCTCTCCAGCAGCAGCTGACTGTTGCTCCTGAGCTTAATGTGGATCTGACTCATAATGAAGAAACAAGACGAGAACGGCAACAATGGATTAGTCCCACATGATTTAACTGCAGTGACTCGTGCTTTATCGACCCACTATCGATCCCTTCATACAGCATTAATTTGCATGTATAAATGAGATGAGACTTGGACTTCCTTTGGTGGATTTGTTTGAGCCAGATCACTGCAGGGGCAGTGGAGTATATCCCACTGGGGCTAATAAAGCCTTGAATCAGATGTTTGATCACTGACCAAAGACACTTTAGAAACTACAGATGTGGTCTTGTTTATGCTTAAAATGCCACGGAAAAATACATTTAGAGTGAAATGTAAATGTTTTGGTAGAATAAAAAAAATTGGGAGGCTTAGTTGAAAATATTTTTTTTGTTTTTTAGAGAGAAATTAAGAAAATAAGGATAATCAAAGAATGTCTAGAGTCAGACTGATCCTGATCGGATGTGTGATGGTTTGAAATTGATCTGTTCTGTGTGGAAATTAAAATTAAGTCAATCAATGGCAGAAATTCAGCTCAGTGGCTCCTATGGTGACCCAGAGATCATCTGAAGACAGATGCTACTAGAATGTTACCATCAACCTGTTTATTTATCAGCATCAGCATTTTCAGCAGTAAGTCAGCTGTGTTTAAGGTGTTTTTGGGGGGCAGATATTCACATAAAGGTATTATAATTTTAAAATGTATCTATAAAAAAAAGGAGAAATAATCCTTATGGTATAGTTCTCAGTTAGTTCCCTAGCACAGCCACTGCTGCAGCTCACCACTCCCCATGGGGATGGGTCAAATGCAGAGATGTAATTTCACCAGAGTGTGATGAATTTATTCTTTATTGTCATGTTATTTTTAGGCAAATGGTAACTTCCTCTGAACTGTTGATGTCCCCCGAATAATGCATCATCATCCAAATCAGTGTCTGCTGCTGAATGAAGCCAAATTTATATTTAAAAACTGTTTATTTCCATCTATTTACCGTTTGTGTATCTGTTTTGAGAGGGAAGGCAGTGGCCAAGTGGTAGTTGTTCAGTCATGTGGCAATGATGCTAAATGTCTCAGAAGTAGAGCTCGAACAATATTGGTTTTGCCATTGCCGATGACGATATGTACGCTGATTTTTATGTGCCGGTTTTCATGGCTGATATCTAGACATTTTCCACCTTATTTTCATGCTAAAATGTCACCAATAACACCAGTTGTTGCTCAAAATTTCTGGAGCCTAATCAGTTTTTGAAATTGGAGTTTAACTGTAATCTTAACTTTGTGCACTGCTCTGTGTTAAAGGGATATGCCACCCAAAATTGAAAATTTGTCCATTAGATAAGTTGACATACAGCATTAGATAAGTGAGGAAAAAAATATTTTTACCCATCCCAGTCATTCTCCTGACCCGGCTGTACTGATTTTGCATTAGCTTAGCATTAAAAACAGTAAGTAAATGGATCCAATTAGCATTGTGAGTCAAAACGTCCTTAAAATCACTCAGTAATGATCCCAGTTCTGCTTGGTGACCTAAATTATCAGACTGACTGCAAGTGAAAATAATTGGTAACATAAAGAAACCACAGGTGCCATTTTCAACTTGGGACATCGGCCAAAGTCGATGTATACATGCTGGAAATAGCAGCCAACTGATATATCGGTCTACTCATACTCAGAAGCATATGTGTGTGTGGATATTAAATATTATCATATTTATACATTCAATTATATTAATAACAATGAATATTGGTTATATATTTTATGGATATTGACATCGGCCTACATTTACATATTGGCACAACCTTAGTCATGTTGTTTTTATGGTTTTGAGCCTAAAACATGATAGATATAATTGGTTTTCCAGCCATCTTTAATATAGTGCTGGTGTTCCAGGTTCACACAGCATCTCCCTTTTATTCATAAGATTCCTCTGGTTTGGTTTCTAGTTCAGTAGCTCCAGCTTCAGGAGAAGCTGATCCTTTTTTCTCTCTGCAGCTTCTGGACTCTCAACACCACCCTCCACCCCGACCCAAACGTCCAGCCAGCCAGTGTTCAGCCAGGAGGCTCAGCGGAGTGGTCCCAGCCTAGAACACCTAGAGCCCAGGTCTCGAGCCCAGTCCTTCTCCACACCCCCAGACACAGGACAGCGTCCCAGTTTTCCCTGTGCTAAACCCCCGATCCCCTCATTGAGCCCCGTGCTTCCCTACTCTACCTCACAACATGTAAGTTACACATTATTTAGTAAAAATGTTACTACATTTGAAGGTTTCATGTGGTTTTGCATTATGACTGTTGAGTTGGAGACGCTGAGGTTGGATCAAACTAGAAACGGGATGCCTTTGTTTACTTTGACCACCCGAACCCAGAGACGGATAAAAAAACATGTCTCTCTGGTTTTCACATGCTTAAAGGATTTATTGACTTGAATGAAAATGTTTAGTCTATTAAATTGTCCTTTTTTTTTTTACTTAAGAATAAAACACTTGAGTGGTGTGTTAATAAGCCTGTCCCAGCCTCAGGATGGAAATAAAAAAATAAAATAAAAAATCAACCGATTAGATTTCCTGGTCATGTTTTAAAACTACTTAGCACTGTTATGGAAGTATTACCTTGAATTGTTGTGACGGGTGAAATATATTGAATTTGTGTTATGTCGAACCAAAAAGCTAAAATGCTGTTTTTGCACACATTCAGAACCAGACTGCTGAGTCATGGGGTGTTGGTGTTGCTAACTTTCCCCCTTATTTTGAATTTACAAAAGCTTCCTTATTCTCCTTGCATGACTCATGCACTTATTTACTCAGAGTCACAGGAGTGTGTTTGGACTGCGCTGTTGAAGCTTCATGTTTGTCCAGTTCGCTCAGAGCACCTCGCAGAAGAACAGAGTGTGTAAATTTTGTTTTGACATCTTATCTGAGGCAAAATTACACATCAGACTCGAGTCCTTCAGTTAGAGCAGAGCTGCTGCATGAATCATAACAGTATTATCTGAAGACCTGTCTCAGTCTATCTGAGGGATTGTGGATTCTAGTGAATCGATATTTCATCACCAGTGCTGATATTAACATGGGGTCTTGGGGTTACTTCTGCCTCTCACCAATCGCACACAAGGTTGCACTTTACCGTATTATATATATATATACATATATATATATATATATATATATATATATATATATATATATATATATATATATAATTTTAAGTGCAATTAATTAAATACTTTCTGGAGGTTTGCTTCAAAACCAAATCAGGTCGTATGCCTTCTGTGGTGCAGCGGGGCCAGATTTATCAAAGTGCAGGGATAGTTAGAAGTGCTGAGTCATCAATGGAGGACGACTTTGGTGGACTGTAAAGCATCCCAGAGCTTTTTGCAGGCTTTTTCTGACCATTACAAAGGCGTGCTGTGGATGTGGGAGTGAAAAGGGGGGGACCCAAGCACATTTTGAATAGCCTTTTAGCATGACACAGCATATTTCCTGCAGGGAGCTGGAGGGTTTGTGACATACTTTCATCCTGCTGCAGCTGTTCAGGCATTGTTTATTTTTTCTTTAGTTTGTTTGATTACTGCGTGCGTGTGTGTGTGTGTGCGCGCGCGCGCGTGTGTAAATGTAATTCTTGTTGCTGATTTTTGTTTGTATTAAAGAAAAGACGAGGCTTCCCCAGCTTCTTGCTGCTAGGCAACGCTGGGATTTCCTAATATGGAGAGGCAGCCAGGTTTTCCTGCGTTAAGGGGGCGTGTCCTTCGGGCGCACAGCTTCCTTCTTGCGCCTCTTTCCTCGCGGTGAGCGGCGTTTTTTGCTGTAGTTAATTATGTCCACAGCTGATTTGTGGTCGTCGGTTTGATTCTCACTCGCCTGTCGGAGCAGCTTCGGTTCCCGCAGCCGAACCGAGCGGATCCGGACCGATCCACTTCGGTTTGAAAGGGGGTGTGTGTTCTGCTGAACACGTCGCTTGTGTATATTTAGCGGCTGTAAAGCGACGCTGCACTGCTGTTTGGTGGGTGCCTCTCTGTTTTTGATCTGCTGCGACCTGCAGGGGGAAGAAAAAAGTCACCAAGCCTCACAATTCACCGCTCGGTTGTTCCTCTTGTTTGTGTGCGTGGTCGTGCGCGCTTTCACTCCAAACTTGTGCCCGTTTCCCCGCAGGTCTGCGGATTATTCGAAGGTATGCTGGAGAAACTTGAACTAGACGATGATGGTAAGTGTGCTGCTGTGAATCTGTGCTTATCGTGGTGTGAATGTGATGGGGATTGCGGGTGTTTCCAGTTTCAGACGCATTTGCGTCGCTTTTCATCCCAAAGCAAAAGATTCAGCTCCAATTTGGCTCAGAAGAGAACCATCCTTTGGGTTTATTTAAAATGTGATTAATGGTGATAGATAACCGTTTTAAATAGGATTTCTCTGCTTAAAACTTGAAAAACGTGTTATTAGTCATTTTCATTAGGAAATCATTTATAATTTCTGTTATAAGTGAGTCAAAAGGTTTGTCACCATAATATGTTTAATAAAAAAACAACTTTATCCTGTCTCCGTCTGACTCACTCATCCTAGTTCCCAGAGTCCTTTGCAGGCCAGTTTTTTCCACTGTTTGTGTGCTTGTTGACATTTAAAGCAGAGTAATTATCTGTAAGATGGAACAGGAAGGTGACTGTAAGTGGTCCACGGCTGTAATGGTTGTTTATGCTGGAATTGTGTGTGCGCTCTTTCCAAGCTGTCATTACTCATTCCCTGGGAGATTTCTCCTTCCTAAAGAAGCATTTCTTTTTCTTTTCCCTGCAGCTGCTGAGCCAGAGAGCGACATTTACATGCGCTTTATGAAATCCCACAAGTGCTACGACATCGTCCCCACAAGCTCCAAGTTGGTTGTGTTTGACACGGCGCTCCAAGTTAGTTCAAGTTTGTGTTTTAGTTTCTTTTATCGCAGCTTAACCTTCAGCCGGCTCAGATGTGACTTTGTTACAGAAACAAAATGAAGTTTTTTTTTTTTTATCTTTCCAAACCAAACGTTGGGTTTAGTTAATGCATGATAAAGCAGGCTGGAGTAGTTGAACTGTTTCTCTTGGGTGTTTTGTCCTGGAGCTGGTAAACACTAATCCAAGGAAGGATTTGTCTCTTTGGTGTGTAAATCATCAACTAAAGCTAAGGGCTATGTCTGAAGGAGAAGGAAAGCCACACATAGGTTATGATGAAGGTGAGGTCTTCACCCCCTTAAAATGTAATCCATAAAATGTTTTACTTTAGGACAAATGATCAGTTTTTATTATGATTTTTGCTTGATTTGATGATCAGCTGACAGAGTAATTTAATTTAATTTTATTTCTCCACAGGTTAAAAAAGCGTTTTTTGCCTTGGTTGCTAACGGCGTGAGAGCTGCTCCGCTATGGGACACAGAGAAGCAAAGTTTTGTGGGTAAGAACTTTTTTCCCACTATTATTTTGGGAAATAAGATAATAGGGAGCCTAAGTCCGGTCGAAGAATGAGAAAATGAATGCAAGTCAGCGGGGTTTAAAGAGCTATTCTCTAATCTGCTTTGTCTTACGCCCTGAATCTCACATATCTTCTGTTTAAATGGAAAGTCATGATGTGTGTTTCGAGCACACCTGTCACGTATTTTGAGATTTATCGCTTTTTAAAATTCATAATTAGCATGACTACAAATCTCCCCTAGTGTAGCTGATGCTTACCTCGTGGCCAGATTTGTGATGCGTCCTTCCTCCTGAAAGGATTCCGAGTTTGCTGAACTTGCAGACATTTTGCTCCTGCGTTTCCTCCGTGTCTGGTTTGATGACGTCAGTTTGGTGATGCACGTTTGTAGTCCTGCATGTATTTTCACACAAAACCTAAAATAACTTCTGCTCCTGTTCAAAAATGAGCGAGTTCTTGGCATCAAGATGTGTCGTGAAATTTTACGGACACCATATGTGAAATCCATGGGGGGCACATAACGGGATTAGAATTAGCTTTTATCGCCCCTTTGACTTGCATACATTTTTTTGTTCTTCCAGGGACCCATGGGCATGACTTAGGCTGTTCATCACAGTCATATTCACTAAAAGTCATTAGAAATTCTTACAAATTACATATTTATTTAATCTGGGACTGAATTAAAACTTTTGAACCTTAAACCCAGTCGTTTTTACGTTCAAGTCTACTAAATATCTGAGACGGATTATAAATTGACTAAATAATCTGGATTTTTACTTAATTGTTTGGCTTTGCTGAGATGGAAAACGTGACTCTTGCTGGCATGTGAGGTCACAGCTAAAGGAAGGCTCTGTATTAATTGGTCATGGCTGGTGGAGCATGATTCTTTATTGAAGAAAACATTAAAGCCGTCCGAAGCAATCGAGCACAGAGATGACTCATCTGTGAGAATTCTCTCTCGCTCGGCTTGTCAGTTATCTAGAGTCAAACGGCGAGCTGGTTGGATTTGTTCAGCCTTCCTGAGAGTCAGCTTGTGATGAATAATGAATGTCAAGTCAATGTGAGAATAAAGCGGGGGTGGGGGGATCAGCGATGTGTTGTTTGAACCACGCCCTCGTCTCTCTGCCTGCAGGCGTGTTTTCTGTGTGTTGTTTGGAGATTTGATCTGCTTTAATGGCCGTTTTCACTGCAGGAATGCTGACAATCACAGATTTCATCATCATACTGCACAGATACTATAAGTCGCCCATGGTAGGTTGACCTGCACATCTTTATCTTTAATCTCGCTCTTTAACTTAACTCATTTTTGTCCTCTTTAGGTGCAAATTTATGAACTGGAAGAACATAAACTTGAGACGTGGCGAGGTGAGTGTTATGGAATATTCCCACCGCCTCATTAACGGAGTTTAATATCTCACAAGGTTTTATTATTTTCTTGCAGAGGTTTACCTCCAAGCCACGTTTAAACCTCTTGTTAACATATCACCGGATGCAAGGTGCCTTTTCCTAAAGTTTGTTGCAGATTTTCCCGTTTTTGGTCTGACTTGGATGCCAGTAACAAATGGCCACATTTTCTGTGTTTTCCAGCCTGTTTGATGCCGTGTACACCCTCATCAAAAACAAAATTCACCGCCTGCCTGTCATCGACCCCGTCACGGGGAATGCACTTTATATTCTCACTCACAAGAGGATCCTCAAGTTCCTCCAGCTGTTTGTGAGTCCAGTAACCCCCACACCTGTCTGCAGTTGGGAAGTGGGATATTTTCCCTTCTGACTTGGTTTACTGTCTTGTGTTTGGCGCCTCCTTGTGGTCAGTGTGTGAAAATTACCATGAGATTAGTAAATAGTGCTGATTGTAATTTTCTCGCCCTCTTGTTGGGTGTTGTTGTTTCCAGATGTGTGAGATGCCAAAGCCTGCTTTCATGAAGCAGACTCTGGGTGAGCTGGGCATCGGAACGTACCACGAAATAGCTTTCATCCACCCGGACACCCCCATCATCAAAGCACTCAACATCTTTGTGGAGAGACGAGTGTCGGCTCTGCCCGTGGTGGACGACTCGGGTGAAGTTTCAAACGATCGTTTCATTTTGATCCTTGTATTTTAATATTTTGTTAATAATAAGTACCCCCTTTTTATTTTCTTGCAGGCAAAGTTGTGGATATTTACTCCAAGTTTGATGTGATTGTAAGTTTCCTGTTTCCATAATTTTAAAGTGTTGAGGTTTTTGTGTCTCATGACAGATTCACGTCTGTGTGCAGAACCTGGCTGCAGAGAAGACGTACAACAACTTGGACATCACCGTGACGCAGGCTCTCAAGCATCGCTCTCAGTACTTTGAAGGAGTTATGAAATGTCATAAAATGGAAACTATGGAAACTATCGTGGATAGAATAGTCAAAGCAGAAGTAGGACACAGACATTTACAGGAATTAAGTAAGATTTGATATCAGATTTAGGGAAAGCTGGTTTATTTGTACTTCCAGGTGCATCGGTTGGTGGTGGTGGACGAGCACTCCAGTATCGAGGGCATCGTTTCTCTTTCAGACATCCTCCAGGCTCTAGTGCTCAGCCCTGCAGGTATAGATGCTCAGCATTGGTAGCCCCAATTCCCCCCACTGTCCTGGACCCTGAGCTTTCCCTTCCCTCAAGTCCTCTTACCCTGCTCCAGGTAGGAAACAACACGGGCTCGCCTCTTGGCCGGACCTGTGGACGGCATGATGTCGATCAACGTACTGCTTGTCCTGAGGGACGATAATGTGTGCGGCAGTGTTGTACTGAAAACAAAAGATCGTGCAGATTAACAGCCTGCTGTTTTCTTTAACACAATAAAAAAATCTCAGTTTTATTCTAAAAGGGAATAACTCACATGTGGAGGCATCGTGTGTTTGGGATTCTGCTCAGTTGCACTCCATGTAGCCGCGTTTTGTTTCCTCAAATGTTCCTTTGATGTGAAGCATGTTTGGTATTGATGTGCTTGAAAGAAAAATAAGAAGCTTACACCATTTTACCAATCCTGGTGTTGGAGGACAGCTGTGCGTTTGGGCTTAACACCATCAGATCAAAGTCGGTGCAGTTCTTGGCGAAGAAAACACGGCACGCCGGCATCGATCAACTCCCCAAATTTAACTCGGTACTCATCGACGTGTTATCAGCTCTGCCTGCATCGAACGGACCTTGGAGTGAAGAGGCTGCATGTTAGGGTTGAAGCAGAGTTCAGTGGGGCTGACGTGGACTTGGGATCACTTTATCTTTGTGTTGCTTAAAAAAAACAAACAGCTTTCTTCTTATGACTAAAGGAACACATTAAGGGAAAATATACACCGCCTGTTTATGGAGATTCACTTAGGCTTCTTTCCCAGTGTTTACAGAAGGTCTGATGATGATCCCATCTGTTCTTTATGACCAAGGAAATTGGTGCAAATAAGCGCTATTATTTCCTGCAATCTCACCTAGAAGGATGAAACGGTTAAATCCAGCTTCCAAACTTCTCCGATTACAATGAAAATAAGAACCATCACGTCTGTTTATTAATAATCTTTCCTCTTTCTTCTCAGCTGCCTGTAAGGAGGACAACCTGACCGAATGAGAGGCCGATGCATCCGTTTATTGAGACAGATGGGAATAGAATTGAGTGAGTCTGAGTGAAGGTCCTGGAGACGCCTGCCATCAGCGTGCTGTAAAGACTCCCAGTCCAAACATCTAGACGCTGAGTGAGGTGGACTTTCTGCACTGACTGTTGATTTTTGCTCTTTGAACACCGATGAGATGCGCACACGTTACGGATGTAATATAAAGTAAACGCACACAGCCGCAGGCAAACATAACATTTAGGGGGGAGTGGGGACGAGTCTGAGACTGGTTCTAACAGATCCGGCCATCAGTGTAGCTACGCCTGTGCTGCTTTCATGTCCCACAGCTAAAGAGGAACGTGAACTTTAGTCGCACAAATACACTCTCCCCTCCTCAGTGGTTCAGTTACTAAAGAGTGATGATCTGGGCCAACATGGATTACTCAGTTTGTGCCTTTTTGTTTTTCCCCCTCTTAAGTTTACAATAAAAACTTATTTCAGAAAGTTGCAGACATTTGATAAATAACTTTTCTCTTTTTTTTTTTAAACCTGCTGCTGCTGAGATATTCTGTCATTTTGGCTACGATGTGTTGAAATAGATTTTTTCTCCCCAGAATTCCTTTTACTGAACAGTAAAAATGTTTTTTAGAGGTTGAAACTCCTTACAAACAACCTGCTTAGCTTGGCTGTAGCTCCACAGGACTCATCTCCGTCTTCGACTGTAAATGGGTCCATTCTCGGATAAAAAATAAAAACGTCACAGAAAGCTTTATTTTTACGAGTGTGTGAACATATTTCAAGAAACTGCAGTTTTATTGTTATTTTTGTAAATATAATGTGGCAATATGTCAAGAGAAACTGTTATCAGATCAACATGTACTGTAAATGTGCAAGCATGACAAACTACACTTCAGCAGAATGAATGTTCCTCGTTTAACTTTTTCTATTTTTCTGGCTGCAGAAAAATAAATGGACACTGAATGTACTCTAAAGGTGGTCCTGTGTGTGTGTGTGTGTGTGTGTGTGTGTGTGTGTGTGTGTGTGTGTGCCTCATTAAATACAGTATGCAATAAATACCTTTCAAGGGTATTGTTGGGATTTTTTTCAACCTAATGTGTGAAATGTGCAAAAAAAAACTGAAATGTTTTTCAAAAATTCCCTCTGATTAAAAAAAATAAAAGGAGTCAAAAAGGTTTTGCAATGATTAGAACACCTACAAACGAATATAATCGGGCTAAAATAAACTCAGATAAAGCATGTTTTATTAAAAGTGACACTTCCAGTTTGTTTACCTAAATCTGTAAAGGAAAAAAAGCCTAAAATGTTTCAGTCGCTGCAGGAAGGGTCGTTTAAACAAATTTTCTTTGCAGCGCTGCTCCTGTCAAGAGTAAAACCATCTCTGCAATAATCATATCAAGTTTACCTCTCGGAATGAATTGTTGCAAATTTTTAGCAGCGATGATGCAACTACATCATTTTCATTCCTCACATAAACACACGGCCTAAACAGTCCCAAAACGAATGTAGAAAAACATGTCACGCTGCATGCTCTAATCGTCTGGATTTAGAGTCTTCTCATTTTTTAACAGCTTCGGAGACAGTTTGGTGTTTAATCCTAGCTTGACAGTCTCACACAGTTTCCTCTCCTAATATGTGAGATTTTAGATGCTTGTCTCACACGTGGAGCCAACGCTGCACCATCCGGAGGCAGCTGAACAGTGCTGTTGGGCCTTGGTTCTTTCTCCTGGCACGCCGCTCTGAGGATATTTTAGAGCAGGGATCGGGAACTCAAGCTGATCACAGCTGATGATTCATCCTTTATATTTAAAAGTTGGGGAAATCAGCTGTCGGTTCTCAAGGGAGGAGAGGGATAATGTTGTGTGAAGCCACCACAAGGTGATGCTGCAGCGCACTCCCAACACCCAAACACCAGCCTCAGCATCCTGGTCTGATGAAGAAATACATCCTCCTCATTGAGTATTTATAATCCAGTTGGAGATTAATGATTTCCAATCAGCGTGTTTTCTTTTAAACCTCCCTGAACTAATGTGGGAGATTTCAGCAGGAAAGTTTTTAGGAATGTTGAGGATGAAGCTGATCTGATGGACTACCTAATGAGGGGTAAAACTGGACCAGGGCTTACTCCAGACAATCTGCTTTGATCTCTCCATCTCCCCAGTGATCCGCAGCTTTGGGAAAGCCTCCTTCACACCTTGTAGCCCTAAAGCAGAAGATGGGCTTCTCCACACACACACACACACACACACTGGACTCTCTTTTGAAAGTCTTGGACCTGATTTAAAATTCTTCAGAGTGTCATGCATTTTATATGCATGGTGAGTGCAAGAGAGAGAGGGAGGGATTGAGGAGGAGGGGAATTCTTCAGTCCAAATGAACTTCCCCTCTGCTGCTGTAGGCCTCCTCAGGGATACACGCACACACACACACCAACCATTACCACTTTCCTCCGCTCCTCGACCCCTTATTTTCTTGCGCCCACTCAACTCTTTCAACATTAGTTTTACTGCATCATGCTTTGCACAGATTCCAGTGAGCAGCGAAGAGGGGGGCCGCAGCCTTTGAAGACAAGTGTGATCAGAGCAGAGGAGAGGGCTGTACAAAAACCTGGCTGCAGGGCATTTGGGGGGAATTTTCTATATTTTTTATGCACTCATAGTTAACAGCATGTGGAACTGAGGAGGAGAAGCTGACAAGCGGGGACAGCTTTGATGTCTGCCTGGGTGCGGCTTTATGCTGCTGCTTCTGTACAAGAAGACTGTCACCTCGACACGATCAGGACTCTGATAGATAACGGATAATCAAAGGAGCACGCTCCTCTTCACCTAAAACATCTCTTATTCTCTTTCTGTCTCACTGACTGGCTCTGAGCTGCAGAATCAACAACACACACACTCTAAAAAAAGATAAACTTAGACTGCATCTGCTACAGAAATCTGATTTATTATTAGGAACAATATGATCCCACTAGCTTATCGTGGATATAGCAGTAAACAACAGAAACACGCGCCACTTTTCTTTTGTCATAGAAGTGCTACAAGTTTGCGATTATAGACATAAAACGGAACAGCAACAAGAGTGCTACATTCATATATGGACAGAAGATATAAAAAGTACAGTATATTGCTATTTCTATTCCTGCTCTGGTTTACACACACACACGAACATCACAGGCAACATCTGTGAGCTGTTTTACTGGAATATCAGGTGTTGTTTTATTTTTACGAGGATGATTAAGGAGGTCTGGCTTGACATTTTTACACATAAGCATCATCTGAGCACAAAGATGAGTAAAGTGAAGTTGATATAATACAGCAACGCTACAAAAAGCTCACACACAAACCTCTCAGTCAGCCCAAAGTGAGTTTTTTTCTTCTTTTAGGTGAAATATTAATACAAGTTTACTTTGGTTTCCAGCTCTCTATATCTACACTGTGGTTATTGTGGCAGTTCAAAGCTGTGGGTTAAAGTTAAACTGACAGTCTAGCAGCTTCAAGCCAATATTGACACAGAAATTAATTCCTAAACATTGTTTTAATAGCAGCCAGGAAAATAACATCATTACAGTGTGATTTTGTAGAAAAAGAGCAAAAAAAGTGACATTTTTCTATTTCAAAAAATTATTGTTAATAATCTGTGATCTTGTACCTCGTAATAAATAGAAAAAAACAACTTATTTGTTATTTCTTCTAGTTAAGTCTGTTATAAATATGGTGATTATGCACTGTGACTTTCATCCGTGCAACAAAAAAGTTTGAAAATGTTTAAGAGATTTTACCGAGCTGCGGTAAACTATTTTCTTCCTTACAGATTTCTTCTGTTTTTCATTTTTAATCACCAAACTTATTCAAATCAGCAAATAAGCTCCAAAATCAGATAGATAGAACCCTAAAATCTCAGAATATATAAAAAATAACCCAACAACTAAATTCTAAATTAAGTTTTAAAATGTGATAATTAGCCACATTATTTGGAAACTGACTTTGTTACACCCACACTCACTTAGACTAGAACTGGTCTGACAATATGAAGCAGGCTAAAAGATCTCACAAACCAAACCAGCATTTCCTCTTATAAATAAAATCAAGAAAATAACCCGTTTAAACCTCTGCTGACCAAAAACACCCCCTCCTTTTAAAAAAAAACACCCACCTTAATCAGGAGTGTCCAAACTGTTCAAGATGAGGGCCACAAAAAATGTAATCATGACTTTTTTTGTACTATTTAAAAATAAGCCTCATATTAGAAAAAAAAAAAAGAAAAAAACAGAAACATAAACATGTTCAAAGCATAAAAGGTGATAAAATATTTTTACTACAAATGCCAGGGGGGCCACAAAAAATCACCCTCAGGGCTACAAATGGCCCCTGGGCCACACTTTGGGCATGCTTGACCTTGATGATCCCCTAGACATGAAGGAAAATATTCAAGGCAAAAGTTTGCATCCCACCAACAGTTGAACATGGATGTGGAGGTGTGATGGTCTGGGCTGCTGACCCACCTGACAGAACCATGGTTAAATCCTGAAGGAGACTGAACTTTGACCTCAATAACACAATTTCTATTTACTTTCCATATTTGTCTGATATTGAAATGTATTTGCAGATCTTAAACATTTATCTGTGATGCAAAAAAAGCAAAAATATTGTGTGTGTGTGTGTGTGTGTGTGTGTGTGTGTGTGTGTGTGTGTGTGTGTGTGTGTGTGTGTGTAGAGGGGGTACTTTTCACTTCTCTGTTAACCCTCTCAACAAACAACTAAGTCCTTCAGGGGTACTTCTGAGTAAAAAAAAATGCTCATGAAATACGTTTGTGGAGTAACCAGGTAGGTACGGTAGGTTTTAACGTAGCAAATCTGCAATGCCTGCCTCCAGAGGGTTAATAAAAAAAAATTCAGACTGCAAGCATTTCCGATTTTTTCTTTTTTTCCCATCAGACCGTAACACAAGACAAACATCAATAAAACAAGCTGAGAAGCACAGATCAATCCCTGGCTGCTCCTGCAGACGGCGGAGATGGGGACATCTCAGGTTCCAGTTGGCTTTTTAGTCCTGAACTGAAATGCTGCCGCCGCCACAACCCCACTCAGTCACATGTGGCCGCGCCGGGATTTCTTCGTGCACGTCAACGCAGTCTCTGAAGGATGTGTGTGGACAGCTCTCAAACTACCTGCTGCAGAGAGAAAACAGCTCTAAGAGCTTTCAGAGTTTTTTGAGGGGGTGGGGTTGTGTGGATCATCAGAGCTGTGTTTGAATGTTATAGCATGCATGTGGCCTTCTCCACATCACACTGCTTGAGAAATGCATGCTTTAAAACGAAAAAAAGATGAGTTTAAGAGAACTCTTCTGCAAACCTCTCTACCCGGATCAACATGCATGACAAATTCCAAACTTTGCTACAGAAAGCGGAGACTTCCTGTTTTCCTTTACAGGTCAGGAGAGTGTGACAGTGCAAAGAGTTCACCCGAGCTGTCTGAGGAGCCCATAACAGTAGAGACACACTCTGCACTGCTTGTAGTGAGCCGTTTCCATTATACATTCTGAGCAGCTGTTCTGCAGAGGAAGTCCTTTGAAGGATGGCTGTAGGGAGGTAACTGGAGTCCACAGTTCAAATGGGGTGTATGTGTGTGTGTGTGGGGGGGGGGGGGGGAATCCTTCACCCCAACAAGCAGAGGAGGATCTGCTGTGGTCTACTTTCTGGCATCACTGATCCTGCACCCCGACCATCAAGCTCTCCAAATAAAAATAAAAAAGACCCACACATGCAAAAGTCTAAACTAATCATGCTTTAACTAGTTTTACAAGCAAGCAGGATGAAATGAACCCAAAATAGACATGCACTCCTCGTTTCTCCTTAACTTAGTGTGATTCCACCTCAGACATCCTTTGCTCTTCGGGCTGAGCCCCCTGGTTCCCTCTGCTGCCTTTGATTTGTGTCTGTTTTGACATGAATGTGCAGCAGAAAAAGGAATTTTCTCAGAGAGGCTTTGAAGAGAGCCAGATTCAGTCTGAAGGTTGTCTCTGAGGGGTCAGGGGGGGCATCTTTACAAAAAGAATAAAAATACAGGAGGCGAGAGGAAAAGGGAGCACGCTGTTACGAAACGGGGTTGATAGCTGATAGAGTGAAGGGAGCCCGATCACTTTTGTGCAAGGTACGCTCCGATGGTGATGCTGGCCGCCCCGAGTGCAGCCAGGCCAAAGACGGTCTTGATGGACGGCCAGTAGCAGCTGAAGACGGAGTCCTTCTGTCGGTCATACAGGTCCACAAACGCACCCTGAAAGAGGAATGGCGAGAGACGCAGGAGTTAGTGCACAGAAAACTACTCTTGATGCATTTCTTCTTTTAAAAGGCCCTAAAGGAGCCCGAGTCAGTCTGCTTTGAGGGCGCTGGACTGTGACTCATTATCTGTGTTCACACACCAACACTGGCGTTCAGCAGAATTTGCAGACAGTTTAGTCCAGATCTTTTCTGTTCATGCAGCAGGGTTTATTCTGCTTGAGATGTGGGGGAGCGGGCGCTGGAGGAAACAATGTTTCCTCTACAAGAGATGGACATTTACACTATGGGGCAAGGTAAGCTTTATATTTGATACTCATTCATGACTCCTCTGTTCCCGTCACGAGAATAGATGATGAAAATGTTCGACAGCTGTTTTTCTGTATTCAGATTCGACGCACAGCAAATATTAAGAGTTCCTGAAGGAGAACAGGATTTTACAGATGCATCGGTTGATGCTCTGACCCTTGTGGTCCCTAAATGTTTTTAAATTTTCAGTTTTGCTGTTTTGGTGACTTCTTTTGCATTAAATTAAACAAATTCTCACTATTTAGGGAGGTAAAACCTGCATGGCTGCATAGAATGGGGAGACTGTGGTTTGTCTTTTGTATTTTTTCCAGTTTGAGTGGAACTTTCCTTTAAAATAAAAATCCCTGAGGCGTTGCAAAGCATGGGTGGAAATAGAGTGTGCATAGGCAGATCCATTACTATCTGTCAGTTCTCACACCCTTCTAGCTCACATTTTACATTCAAATGCAAACTCCAAACCAAACAAAACACAGGAAAAACATTAATGTTTGCAATTATCATAATTTTCTTCCATGTTTTCTGCACACAGATGAGGAATGATGATCACACATGAATGCAGCGGCTGCAGATGAGTGAGTTTGTGAGTAACTGAACATAAGGAGCATCTGTGCCAAATGCCAAAGCTGCATGTCTGAGACCAGGAAGTGCAGACGCATGCTCACAAGCTGTGACAGCAGGAACAGCTGGACAGGAAGTAACAGTGCTGAGTCCCTCACACACTCACCAGCAGCTTATCTTTATTCAGACTACGATGAGGGAACATTCAGAGGTTTACTGAAGGAAATACCAGCAGGTCCCTTTGAATTTTTTTCCTTTTTTGGGCGACGAAGACCACATTAATAGCTGAGCTGCTCTGATGTCTCTGTTCTCAGCTGTAATTTGATCTGAGTCTGAACAACAGTGAATCCTTGATTCATGAGGATGGTTCTCGTGGGAATCTGTTATCATCCTATTTTCTGATCCTATTATCTGATGGGATAAAAAAAAAATGGAATACAAATTTTACTTCGACTGAATTATGTTTATGTTTATTATTTAGCAGTTCAAAAGGCATGTTTCTAATTCACAGTTTCTGCTTTGTGAAAGAAAAAGCCACACAGAAAAAAAAAAGTGAGACCGAAGGGCTGCGGAGAGACAAAAGCATTTCCTGTTTCCCATCCCGTTCCACAGCATTCCTGAGGCTGGGGTCTGGTGACACAAGGGAGGAAGGATCAGCAGATTCCCCTATGTTTAAACCCTCTGGTGCCAACACACACACACACACACACACACACACACACACACACACACACACGCACGCACGCACGCACGCACGCACGCACGCACGCACGCACGCACACACACAGGTTTCTCCTTGAGTATGTTTAATTACCAGAGGCCGTGCCAGCAGTTTTAAGAACTGGCATCAAACAAAACTGAGCTGTCAGCACAATCGACAATGGAATTGTGTTCTTTCAGTCTGTTTTCTTTTCTAAGGCCGGCCCAAGCTGAATAAAAAATGATTAATATGAATCAGAGTTATTCAAGTCCATCTCCTGAGTAACGTGCTGCTGTTTGCTGCTTACTGTAAAAAAATAAAAGATGTAAACAAATTTGTAAATGACCTCCATTAAGTTAAAAACTAGATGCAAAATGAAAGGTTTGATTTTTTCTGTATAATTTTCCTCCTTTTTGCAGAAGGATGGAAAGTGCGGCAAAGGGCCTGCAAAATGCAGAAGAGCATGAAATGCTAACTAAGTTCCCAGCTGGGAAATCGGAATTCTACTTAAAAATTTTCAATAATTTTTTCCTCCATAATGATAAGAGATGTAGTTCCTGGCTCATTGATGAGAGTCTGTCTGTGTTGTTCATCCAAAAATTTAAGAAGCGCCACCATTTTACAGAGACGTCCAGGACATCCACAGTAGTTAAAATCTCGACAGGAGCATCTTCTGATGAGAAGGGTTGAAGAAAATCGCCATGCAAGTTCACTGCAGTTAGCTAAAGCTGTAGAAAGCCCAACTGGAGTGACACCATATGGCACACACTGCAGAAGCCCGTGCTGAAAGAGATGAAGACTACTGGAACTCTATACTCTGGAGTGATGAGACAAAGATCACTGTGTTTGGAACTGATGGTATCAAAACTGTATGGTGTCGTGAAGGTGAGGATTTCATGGTGCCTACAGTGAAGCATGGTGGTGGCAGTGTCCTTATGCGGGCTGCATGAGTGCTGCTGGTGTTGGAGAGCTGCATTTCATTGATGGTATCATGAACTCAACAACGTACTGCTCTACACTGAAGGAGAAGATGCTGCCATCACTCGGTGCACTTGGTCGTCGTGCACTTTTCCAACATGACAACGATCCAAAACACACATCTAAGCTGCTGTTGCATTTCTGCACAAGAACAAGGTGAAGGGGATTGAATGACTAACTATGTTTCCTGATCTGAACTCATTCCAACACCTGTGAGGAATTCTGAAGCAGCAAGTTGAGCATCAGTCTCCATCCAGCATCCAGGCTCTAAAAAAGTTATTCTATACAGACAGATGTTGCAGTATGTCGCCAACTTGTTCATTCCGTGCCTAGAAGACTTGGTGATGTCCTTGACAATCACGGTGGTCAAACAAAATACTAGATGTAGTAGTTTTTGTTGCGGGTGTATTAATTTTTACTTCAACCAATTTCAGTAAAACTGAAGATTTTGTGATCTAAGTTATATTATTAACTTTAATTTCATGTTATGGAGTTAAACAAGTGTTCAATAAAACCCAGCCTTGTGAAAAATCTGGAAATTGTTCTTTTGTTCATTGATCTACTGATTAAATTTGTACTTTTTAAAGGGGGTGTACTCATTTATGCTGAGCATTGTAGTTGTAGGAGCATGAAAAACTCAGCGAGACCGATTATAATCAGAAATAATCATTAAAAATGGTTTTTCAGTGAACCACAGCTTTAAAATGGCAAATGAGATGCTAAAATTGAGAAGAAGAGCCATTAGTTTATTAGAATAATAAAAAAATGTCAAACTCCATCTAAAACGTACACATGGGAAACATAATAGGATATTTCAAATGGAATAAAAAAAATGTGATTATCTGGAGCCTTGCAGCAAAAATGAAAAGTAAAATGTCAGAAACCTTCATTCTGAACCACTTTTAGCATAAATGTTTCCGCCTGTTTTTAGGTATCAATAAGACAAGCTTTTAAGCCAGACCTCCAGCTGAGACAAGCACTTTTCCCACCTACTTCTGCAAATTAACCAAGGCCACAACTCAAATCAGAAGCAAATGGATGCAACTGACCACCAGCAAGGCTCAACGCAACTGCAAACTCATGGTGCACGTGTCCTTGACGCGACCCAGACAGTCGCCATAGATTATCGTCTATTTAAGTCTCAAACAAAAGGGGGGCCAGCAACAGGCAGGAGATTCACGAGAGATGTGACGGATAATTCCCAAAAAGGTGTGGATGGTAATAACTCCAGGCTGACTCGGCGGAGTCAGGAAGCTGGGAAAGAGGGGAGGAGGGAGGGATGTCAGGTGGATGTCATGAGATCGAGGCGTGCTCTGCTTCAGCTCCTGGAACTTTTCACCCACACGTTAACGAGCCGTGTTGCCACAACCATGTGAGTAAAAGAGGAAAACAAACTTTCTATTTTTCCTCTTTTCTTCTCCCTGCTGCACTCGCCGACATTTCTGAAGAAAGCAGCGATGAGCAGCTGGAGGAAAGCTTGCGGAGAGCTGGCACGTGAGAGGACAGTACATCTGTACACAACAAAAGACTTTACAATCCTCAGAAGCTCATCTTCGCCCAGCAGTCAAACCCCCTGCTGCCAGCAGCAGGTGTGCATCAGGGATACGGGGTCCTGACAGCAGGTCTCTACAGTCCTCATTTTTTGGATCAGTGGTTTTTAAAAGGTCACAGCAAGCCAACTGAGAGCAAGGTTCCCCTTTCTTCATTTGTAGCTACCTCACAATGAATCCCTTAGAGAGACAACTGAAACAGTGAGGGCTTGATGGGTTCCCATACGTCCTCACGGGTTGGCAACTGACTGTTTCAGTGTCATGGTTACACTGACGGGAAGCCCTGCACACCATTTGCTTTTCCCACCAGCGGGACAGTGCCCATCCTCAACCTCAGATTTGTTTTCACATGATTCACACCTCCGGATTGTCCTCTGTGTCTTCCTCGTGGACACAAAAGGGATTTTGTGCTGCAGTTTTCCTGGCTCATGGGTAACGGGAATACCAACATTTGCTCATTCCTGCTTGTCTCCGTCATGCTTTTGAGAGAGTTCTTATAAGGCTGGCGGAAGATGGTGAGTCATTTCGCTGGCTCAGTTAAAATCCCAAACAGCAATTTTCCAAAATTAAAAACAAAATGAGAGCCATTTCTGTTTTGGGATGTCTCCGTGGGCCCATGCAGGCAGCCGAAGAGAAAAGGATGTGGGTTAAAGATCAGTTTGTAATTAAAGAGCCTGTTGTGGCTTTGCTGCTTTTTTCACCTCTGAACCAAGCTTCACCCCTCGCACTGTTTATTTCCAAAGCATTCACATAGCAGCACACTTATAGGCTAATATCACACACTCTGCTCCCGCTGCACTTCTTTGATTTTTAATGAGCTTCTTGCAGACATCTTCACCACTAATTAAAGTCAAACAAAACTCCTCTTTCAGTAGCCGAAGGGGGAAAGGGGAGATGAAAAAG